GTGATTTTGCTATGGAGAATTCCGATCAGGATTTGGGTTCTAAACGGAATCTTTTGCCGCGTCAATTGGATTTCTCCGTCACGACGGCGACTGTGGAGGCGAAGATGGATTCGTTTCATGAAAATGGGAAGAAGAAACAGTCGGATTCTGTTCTCGATTCGCACTCGTCTCGAGAAGATCAGAGACGAGAAGACTTGCTTTCGCCGCCGCCTGATGAGGAGCAACTGCGATTAGGGGTAAAGCCGGTTAAACCGCCGCCGTCTTCTCCGGTGACAGCGACGGAAGTCAGTATACAAGATGTTACGCCGTTACAGAAATCGCCGATTCATCGGTTTAGTCACCAGGTGCAGAAGAATCCATTGGGAAAGTGTCGAGTGAGGTAATTATTAAATGGTTTACATTTGTGTTTTGATTTCTTTGAACAATTTGAAAATCCTTTGAATCAATTTTTTTGGGTTTGGGGATTTGTGCGTTTTGATTGTTTATGCAGCAAGCAAGATCCATCGACGACTCCACGAGGGCAAACTGAAGTTGAGTCAAAGGATGCTACTCCTAATAAACAGAAGCATTGCAATTGTAAAAACTCAAGATGCTTGAAGCTGTAAGTAATGCATTTCTCCATCTTTGTTTATACAGCCTTCTTGATTTGTTCTCTGTCCTCTCAACTGTTTTTGTTTTGTTTTGTTATCTGTAAAGGTATTGTGAATGCTTTGCGTCTGGATCTTATTGTAATGGTTGCAACTGTTTGAATTGTCACAATAATTTGGAGAAGGAGACTTCAAGACAGGAAGCCATCACGGCGATCTTAGAGCGCAATCCGAATGCGTTCAAGCCAAAGATTGCTGGTAGTCCTCATGGAATGAAAGATTTGCAGGTGTGATCTTGTTACTTAACTACTACTTAAAAGACTTTAATTTCCTCCCCAGAAAGCTATTACTTGATTATGCATTTGGAGGGAATCAATATGATAGGGCTTGGATAATGTTTTGGTGTTTCTGTCTCTGAAAAGTCGTTGCCTTTAACACCACNAGAGAAAGTATCAAGAGACGATTTTGATAAATTCATTTGCTGGTAGCTTTATAACTTATCCTTGGTGTGATGAATCTCTCGTAGGAGGATGTGCGCCAAATCCTGATTCTGGGAAAGCACAGCAAAGGATGCCACTGTAAGAAATCAGGATGCCTGAAGAAGTACTGCGAGTGTTACCAGGCAAATGTCCTATGTTCAGAGAATTGTAGATGTCAGGATTGTAAAAACTTTGAAGGAAGCGAAGAAAGAAATGCCCTTCTTCATGAACCACCGGTCTCAGAAACCTACATACAACAGACGACCAATGCGGCTGTCAGCCGCGCCATCGACATGTCTGGTTATCTGAAACCCCCTGAATCAAGAAAGAGAAAGAGCAAGGAAGCTTCACGTTCTGTAACAGCTAGAGCACACGTCCAAAGTCAGGCGGTAAATATATATCTTGCCGAATAATAGAGCACACGTTGGTCTCATGCTTTTTAGTTTCATCTCTTGCATTGAAAGTATAATTCTTTGTGTTATTCTTGTTCCAACTAGGTAAATCACGTTATAAGGAATGGTGACACTTCTCTATTTTCACTCCCTAACAACAGGGCGGTATCCGGACTTACCACATGTAGTTACAGGTTGGCAATATCAAATCCTTCCTTTATATAATATGCCCATTCGAAACTACCATGATACCATCTGAAGGATTTTTGTCTCACTGATAACCTCTATAGGTCTTCTCTGTCAAATACTATCCAGTCGCATCATGTCAGAGAGCTATGTTCGAATTTGGTCTTAAAAGCGGTGGATGTAGCAAATAAAATGTCAGGTACATAGCATGCAGTAAACTATAGAGGAGAAATATGTTCCTCATATAATAAGATTTTTGTTAGAGAATGCCTAATATTGGGCTTTCAGGTGCTAAATGTGAAACGGACGGCAAAGACCGTTCACTTGATCTGCAGAGGGATGCTAAAGAGACCAATGACTCTCCAGATTGTGTCCTTGATGCTACTAGAATGGACGAGAAGCCTTTATCTCCAGCAACACGAGCATTGATGTGTGATGAGGAACATGTGATCACATCAGAGAAAGAGACATCGGCCCGAGTGGAAACAAGCCAAGAGAAACAAGACGCAGACACGAGCTCGGAGATCTACTTAGAACAAGAAAGACAGATCTTGTCAAGCTTCAGGGACTATCTCATTCAGCTCTCGACTCGTGGGAGCATAAATGGTAAGCTGCTTTTAGACCGTATGTATACTTGTTCAGGAATTTAAAGCTAGAGAATGTGCTAATTTAAGACATTTACTTAAAGCAGGAACAAATATCAAAACCAACACAAATCCGAGTAGACGGAAACAAGAAGATGAAGAGCAAAGCCATGGAGACTCGAGTTTGGGGTAATGCTTAGGGAACTTCTCTGACAAAACTTTAGCTTCTAACATATGATCATGTCACATTAGGAAGATCAGGTAGATTAACTAATTTTTCTGTGGGTTAATCAATATAACTCTTCTTGTTTAACTGCCACATCAGTGCCAAGTGCGAGTTTACTAGATTTCATAAAATGGTGTGTGAAGTTTAAATTTAGAGTTATGAGTGGTGGTCTATTTTATGATGATGATTTGGACTGCTCGCATTCTTCAAAATTTGAAGTTATCCTGTGTTGTTTCTGCTGTATACGTAATTTACTTTCTAGTACAGTCTATTTACTTTCTCTAAAAAGAAATTTTCATTGGAATTTTATGCACCTAAACTAAAGAGCCAAAGTTCCAAAATGTGACAGACAAAATAAAGTGACTTTTAAGCTTTATCCTTTATATATCAAAACAAAAGGTAATTTAAACACGTCATTAAGAGATGATTATTAAGCAGTACCATACAACAAAAGCAGGTATATCGATTTGTTGTTCTGCAAATGCATGCCCGTTGACATAATGAATTTTGTCACAAAACAGAACATACGAATCTGTTTTATTTTTTTGTTTTTTCTTTCCGAATCTGTTATCACCGGAGCAATGGAAGCGCCGATCACCGGAGCCGAACAGTTTCGATCGGAATTTCTCCGTGTTCTTCTGAGTCGCCGATCATCCCAAGGTTAAACCAACAACTTCTCTCTGTTTTGTAGATTGACTCTTGCAGTTGTTGTTGTAATAAAATGGGTCTATTGTTTCTTTTAATTTCCAATCTCATAATCTCAAGATTTAATTGATTATCTTCCTTGACTGTACGATTGATCTGAATTTAAATGTTTTGGAACATTTCCAGTTCCATTATTGGCGGAATCTTCAAAGCCAGTGGAGAATCCTGTTTATCAAGCTGATGTTCCATCTACACAAGTGAGATATTATTACTTATTAAAATTATATGTTCTACAAAATCTCTATAAAACCCCTTTTTCTTAATTTGATCTGTTATTTCATTACCAAAACCAGGCAATAGAGTCTTGTCCAAGAGAAGACATTGGTAATTTGAATGAGATGCTTAAAGAAGAAAACCTTCATTTGCACACTGAGGTAACTATTTATTACACTTTCTCTTTCTGTGACAAAGTTTCTCATCTTTTCTCTTTGTTATGTCTTAAAATGTCTGAAAAAATGTCTTAAAATGTTTTCTTTATGTAATGGGAACAAGGCTGCAGAGCAAGGGAGATTGCCTTTGCTTATACTAAGTTTGAAAAAGAAGAGTGAAGAAAGAAGACCAGCGATTGTGTTTATGCATGGCACAAACTCAAACAAAGAATGGTTAAGACCATGGCTTGAAGTAACAAAAACGTCTTAATTTATACTTTTTGAGTTCTCCTTAACCAGTAAATCATCTACATTTCACAGTTTTTGCTTGTTTATTATAGGCATATGCTTCGCGGGGATATGTAGCCATCGGTTTAGACTCTCGCTACCACGGGGAACGTGCTAACTGCAAAACTGCCTATCGCGATGTAAGACCATTGTTACGAGTCAGTATGACGTATTGATTTTTGTAGTCTTCTGAGTTCTGACATGGTGTTTTTTGGTGTAAACTTTTATTGCAGGCTCTTATATCATCTTGGAAAAATGGAAACACAATGCCTTTTATCTTTGATACTGTAACATTTCCTCTATTTATCTCCATATTTCTTGTTTAACTTTTGAGTGTAAGATTTCTCAACGCATCTATCAATGTTTTTGTTTCAGGTCTGGGATTTGATCAAACTAGCTGAATATCTTACTCAAAGGGAAGATATAGACCCGAAAAGGATAGGAATTACCGGTATTTCGCTAGGAGGTCAGTTGTAGAACAAATTGAATACCAGGATCATTAGCCTTTGGTAGTAGTATATACTAATTTTGTTCATTGTGAAAGCAACATTCAGGGATGCATGCTTGGTTTGCTGCTGCAGCTGACACCCGCTATTCCGTGGTTGTCCCGTTAATCGGTGTTCAGGTGCAAAATCATCCTTAGTTGATCTATTGTTTTTATTTCTTCTAAACCAAATACCAATAAAGAACATAGCAAATTCGATGCATTTACTGATTTGTAAGTTATGTATCCTACATCACATAGAATACTCTTCAAGTTTAGCAAGTTATGTATGTTGTGCAGGGATTTAGATGGGCAATAGACAATGATGAATGGGAAGGAAGAGTCAACAGTTTAAAGCCTTTATTTGAAGGTCACATTTTTTGGAAAAAGAACCACAAAATGATTTCAGATATGAAGTATGAGGATTCTAATTCCTTTGCTTTTTTTTAATGGTTTCAGAAGCAAGGATTGATCTGGGAAAGAACAAAATCGACAAAGAAGTGGTCGAGAAGGTAAGTGGCCTGAAAGTAACTACTAGTCCGGATTGCAATTCATATGATGTGGTTTGTATTTATTTACTTTCAACAGGTGTGGAACAGAATAGCTCCTGGTCTAGCCTCTCAGTTTGATTCGCCTTACTCGTTACCAGTTATTGCTCCACGGCCTCTTTACATCCTTAACGGTGAGCACAGTCTAACCTGACTGCCATTATCTACCAAA